GGAAAAAAAAAAACGGAAAAAAAGGGGCCACGTGCCTGACTGAACTGCTAAAAAAGGTCAGCCCGAGTGTCAACTGCATTTGAAACTTGGGCCCTGACTAAACTGCTAAAACGCAATTGGAATGCAATTACAAACTGTAACCCTGAATGCGCCGTAGTTCTCTCAAAAAAAAGAAAAAAAGAAACTCTACCTGCTGAACGCTGGAAGATGCAAATAAATGGCTTGAAACTCTTGGACTCATCCAACGAAACAGTTCGTAGGAAATAGAGGAATGAGAAAAACAGAAAATCGCAATTGATGTGCTTTTGTAGCGGACCCACCAGGTGTGGTGCTCCGCTAGCGATAGAGATGGAGATGGAGGAAGAAGGGGGGAGCGAGATGGCACAACGCAGCTCCCCACGCAAGACTCCAACGCACGTACTCCAAAATGTGCAAGTGAAGAATGACTGAAAACAGACAATGGGTGGGGTATACTCCAGCGGACTGACGGGATTGGACTGGACTGGCTGGTACCGACAGAGGTACCGGCCTGGACTGGCCTACCCCGAATACAACACAGGCCTGTGAGAACAGGCCAAGGGGCTGGTCTCACAGGCCAACCTGAGGTCCGCTACACGATCCTCGGCCTGTGATGGATCGCCTAGATACAAACATGCTTCCGCCAAGAAGCGGAACTCTACCAAAGAAAAGAAAACCTGAGTAGTCTAGGATGCGGAGCAAGCTCCCTGTTGAGTCCATGCGATGCAACCTAGGATATAAAATGTCACAAAACAGCAATGTCACAACTAACAGCCTAAGTGAAGCAGAAGCAACTAACTAACATACATGTCCTAGGAAAGCAAAAGTAACTAACTAGCATACATGTCATAGGAAAGCAGAAAGTTGTGACAACTAGATCCTAGAATGTTGGAGGCACTAGCCTCAGTCTGGTAACAATTGACTAGTGTATAAGTCCTAAGAACAGCAAAAGCAGAACAGCTAAATCCTAGAAATGTCGGAGGCAGTAGCCTCAGTCTGAGAGCAACAAAGCAATCAACAAGACAACCATATGTCACATGAGAAGTGTGTCGCAAACCAAARGGTGGGATGGTCTCTGAGGGTGGCKAATGTAGCCTAGGGGTCGAAAACTCCTAAGGGCATCCACACATAGTGACAGGGGAAAACACATGTCATCAGGCTCAATGAGGGTAGGGAACTGGGARYGAACAGAACCAATGACCCKAACAGATAGACCATCAGGGCGGGTAATGCTCGACTAAGGGGTGACCGCTATGGAGGGTCGACCATGCAAGGGAACAAAGGAGCCTGGTATACTGGGCGCACTTAGATGAAGCATGCGGGGCTGCCTAACTGGGGCGTGAGGGCCGGCGAAGGGTAGAAAGATGATGGGTAAGGTAAAAATGCAAATGACTCCTAAAGTGTGGGAAGTCGGAGCTAGATCCGTAAGATGGGAAGCCAGGGCAACGCTACGGTCCCGATGCCTATGCGTATACCAAGGGAGAGCCCAACTTAGAGGAACCCGGCTAAAGGGAGACCATCATGCGACACAAGCAGGTACTGTACAGGGTAAAGTGGTAAGAGAGCGGCGACGTCTGAAGTAGGCAGAGCTGATCGTGACGAAGTCCATGAAGCTGCCGATGACGTCCACGATGAGAAGTCCGGAATGTCGTCGAGGAAGAGCCGCAACGTCGACGAGCCGAAGTAGCAAAACTGGAGTGGATGGAGTACTGAGAAGTCAAGGACGTGGAAAGGTAAGTCAGAGTCAATCATCGTATCGAGCAGGACGACGACGAGTGCGTTGTGGACGCTCAGAAGCATCCGGCTGCTGCTGAAGGTCTGCCTCAGATGGAGCAGGCTCGACTTCAGCGGTCTCCTAAGCCGGGGGGAAGGAGGAGGGTCAGTGGGCTGAGGAGGAGCAGTGAACCCAACACAACGAGCACGGTCATAAGTACGCACCAACATGCGAGCGTGCTGCAAGTGCTCGAGGGGCTCCCAGGTAGCCTCCTCATCAGGGTAACCCTTCCAACGTACGAGATACTCGACGTGGGGAGGGTTGTCGTCGGTGACTCGGCGACCAATGATGTCTGAAACGAGGAACTCCTCGTGGCCATCCACCATGATGGGTGGAGTGCGCTTGTATGGTCGTCCAGGGAAACGCTCAGACGGTCTGCGGTAAGGACGCAGTAACGAGACGTGGTAGACATCATGCACACGAGCCTGGCGTAGGTAGTCGGGCAGCTTCACACGAAAGCTGACCGGGCTAGATGCCGTATCAGAACCGACGGCCTGGAGGATGCGGCATGGGCCAAAGAAGCAACGCCGAAACTTGCGAAGTGTGTCCGCTTCGAGCTGTAAGTGGCGGGCGTCGATAAGCACATCATCGCCGACCTTGAATGGGTGATCCATCCTCGATCGGTTCGCACGTGCTGCCATGCGAGTCTGGGAAGCGGCTATGTGCTCATGTGCGGTCTTCATAATCGACGTCATGTGTGCAACCCAATCATCCAGCGCGGGACAACTCGTGTCGGGGTGCATCTGGGACGGTCGAAGGAAGTCCGCGGAAATACGCAGGTGATAGCCGAGGTTGCAATAGTAAGGCAACATCCCCGTGGCTGGCGAGACGGCGTGGTTGTAGGCTATCTCCGCGTGGGCAAGATGGAGATCCCACTGCTGGTCGTCACGAACAATCTTTCGGAAAATATCTCCGAGAGTCTTGTTCGTGATCTCGGTCTGACCATCAGTCTGAGGATGGTAAGACGAGGAGAAGCGGAGCTGAGTGTCGTACACCTYGTGGAGCCGTCGCCATAATCGGCTGGTAAAGCGCGGGTCACGGTCAGATATGATGCTCAGAGGTAAGCCGTGGTCACGCACGACTCGGTCAAACATGATGTCGGCGACCTCACGTGCATTGATGGCATAGCGGCACGTAACAAAGCGTGCACGCTTCGTGAAGCGGTCGACGACGACCAGGATAGCATCATGACCGCGAGGGGTCGGAGGACGAAGGGGACCGATAAAGTCCATCGAGATGGACTGCCAACGACCCTCAGGGATAGGAAGAGGCTGGAGCAAACCATAGGGCAAGTGGTTCGCACTGTTCACATCCTGACAGGTGGGACACTCTGCGACGTAGTCCTTCACAAAGTCCTTGCGCTTCGGCCATACGTACAGGGGGCTCACACGAGCCAACGTCTTGTGGAAGCCCATATGACCGGCAGCTGCCTGGTCATGGAACTCTGTTACTGCTCCGACACGTAGCTGTCCAGTGGAGGGAATGCAAATACGGGGCTCTCTGGTGCCCTGTGAACCGTGCCAGTACACAATACCGTTGTCCCCGAGAGAGTAGTTCGGGACGGTCTTGCCGCTCCGAAGGGTCTCGTGGATGTCGCGATAGTCGGGGCAGTCGCGGTACTGAGTGCGAAACTCGTCGATCACCGAGTGGTAGACAGCGGTAACCGAGATGGAAGAGAGCTGGATGTGCTCCTGGTCGTGGTCAGGGCGCCGGGATAAGGCATCTGCGACCCGATTAGTCTCACCCTTGATGTGCTCAGTGGTGAAACTAAACTCGGATAGGTCGCGCCGCCTGCGAGCCTGTCGAGGAGTGAGCTTCGACTTTGTCAGAAAAGCCTGGACAACAGAGTTGTCCGTGCGCACCGTGAATGGTGCCCCGTGCAGGTAGTGACGCCAGTTTCAAGCGGCATAAACTACTGCGAGAACCTCACGTTCATCAGCAGTGTAGTTTATCTCGGCGGGCAAGAGCTAACGGGAGTAGAAGGCTATCGAACAATCACCTGAGCGAGACTCGACAGTGTCGTCCTCGGCGATGGTCGGAGAATAGTCAATAGAGGGTTCGTCAATAGCTGGACGAGTAGGCGTCAGTCGGGAAGCAGTGGTAGGGGTAGGTGGTGGGAAGCAAGGGATACGAGGATGAGAGGAATCAGGAGAGGAGGGGAAGACCTGAGAAAACATTGCTCCTACAACAAAGTCTGACGCATCGGTGGTAAGGATAAAAGGGCGGTCAAAATCGGGTAGGTGAAGAACCGGTGCGCATGTCACCGCCTTCTTGAGGGCGCGGAAGGCGTCCTCGTGGAGGGGTGTCCAAGCCCAGGGTGGGTTCTTCCGGAGGAGGGTGGAGGTAAGGACGTAGGAATAYCTAGCGTATCCCCGGATGAAGTTACTATAGTAGCTGGCCAGGCCTAGGAAGCTGCGAAGCTGCTTGGCGGATGTGGGRGCGGGCCACTCCGCAATAGCAGTGATTTTCGCGTCGTCCATTAGGAGACCCTCGTCAAACACGTAGTGTCCTAAGAAATCCACTTTGTGTTGGGCAAAGCAACACTTGCTCAGCTTGGCGTAGAAGCCATGTCTGCGCAAGCGGTCAAGGACGTCGCGGAGGTGTCTGAGGTGCTCCTCAAGGGTACGACTGTAGACCTGGATATCGTCGAGGTAGACGAGAACGTACTGCTCCAGGATGTCCCTGAAGATGTCGTTCATCGCCCTCTGAAAGGTAGCGGGAGCATTAGTGAGGCCGAATGACATCACCGTGAACTCGTAGTGGCCGAATCGCGATCGGAACGCGGTCTTCGGCTGGTCGGTTGCAGCGACGCGGATCTGATGGTAACCGCTACGAAGATCAATCTTCGTAAAGAAACAGTTGCCTGCTAGGCGGTCGAACAGCTCATCGGAACGAGGGATGGGGTAGTTGTTCTTAACCGTGTAGCGGTTGAAACCGCGATAGTCGATGCAGAGACGGAGAGTTCCGTCCGCTTTGCGAGCAAAGAGGACGGGTGCACCCCACGGGGAGTTGCTGGATTTAATGAAACCCAGTCTTAGGAGCTCCTCAAGTTGATGCTTGAGTTCGGTGGCCTCGGGGATCGAGAGTCTGTAGGGTGTCTGGTGCTGAACACGATAGTCAGGCACAAGCTGAATGGAGTGCTCGATGTCACGCATCGGTGGGATGCCGGCGTACGAGAACGACGATGGGAAAACGTCGTGGTACTCTCGGATGAGGTCACGAACTGCGGGCTCCAAGTCAGCCGTATATTGTGYGAGTTTCTCAGCGTCAGCGTCAGCGCGCGACGACGGGGTGGACTCGACGGACGGCGGAGGGACAGAAGTAGAGATGGGAGCCATGGAGATGGAAGGAGGATCTGGCTCCAAAGGGAGGAGCTCGGCGTCGGGACAGGATGGATCATAGTGTAAGAGATCCGTCACGTTCACCATAAAGAAGGTGACGTCGTCCTGTCGGATGAAATGGGCGAACTGCCGAGGCGAAGTCACAGTGATAGAAGGAGATGGTGTGGGCACAGAAGGCTCCGGGAGAGGAGGATCGGGGCGTGGTGTCGCAGTGGTACCTATGAAAGGTACGCGATACGTCTGTCCACACTTCGTTTTGAGAACGAGAGTGTTGGTCGCCCAATCGGCCTCGGTGCTGCGCAACCGACGAGACCACGAAGTGCCGAGAATGAAGTCGTACCCCGTCTCCATCACATCAAAATGTGCAGAGGAGCGGTGGCGACGAGACGTCGGGGAACGATCAGTCGGCTCGAGAGTGAGGAAGAAAGGAAGGTCGGTGACCATCTGATCGGAGAAACGCTGGGTTTTGTCATCCCCTAAGGTAACGGAGATGGGAGTCAGAGACCCTGTCGTGGGTAAGCGAGCTTCTTTCACCACGCGTGGGTGAATGAAGTCGCCCTGAGAATCGGAACCCCACAGCGCGGAGTACACCCTCGTGGAGGTCCCGAGTCGTACTGGGATGATCGGGAGGGTGCGATCAGGGTCAGAGAGGATGGCAAGAAGGCGACGCAGTGCAGGGACATGGAGGGTGAGTCGCTCCTGACGAGCCTGGAGCATGCTCAAGTCCAGAAGAGAGGACACAACGTCCTCGCGAGTTGCGAGCTGCTCGCTGCAACGGGCTGAGCGAATGGCTCGACGCGTCGGTAGTCGCGGCGGGGAAGGAGGGGAGATGGTGGTCTGCGGAGGCGCAGACGGTACTGCGACAGAGGGCTGAGTACACTCTGTCGAGTCATGCGATACCTCAACTCCAGTAGCGAGAGGGGCGAACCGCNCTGCGGAGGCGCAGACGGTACTGCGACAGAGGGCTGAGTACACTCTGTCGAGTCATGCGATACCTCAACTCCAGTAGCGAGAGGGGCGAACCGCGACGGAGATGTTGGGAAGCCTACTACTGAGGAGGGCGCAAGTGTCCACTGCACCGTGGCTAGGAGGCGCCGCGGGGACGTGAGGCGCCGGGGGGGGACTGAGCACGACGCTGACGAGAAAGGTCAGCGTAGTGGCGGTCGAGGGCGGTAGTGTAAGGGCACCGCGAGGAGGTATGACCGTCCAAGTGGCAGCGCAAACACCCACGTTGGCCCAGAATAGCCGCGCGCTCCTTAGCGGAAAGGACACCGTGAGGAGGGACGAAGCCCTGTTGGAGGTTCTCCTGAGGGACCTCGGGGGGCGACGCGCCAGCGTGACCGGGACGGCTGCGTGCCCGAGAGAGGGCGGAGAGCGAGAGCTGTAGGCGCTCAGCTGCAGGGAGGGTGGAGTCCTCCAAGTGATAGTGGACGGCCTCGCAGAGATCGAGGTCGTCGCTGTGGTCGCCCTCAGGTGACAATGGGGCAACAGCGTCCTGCTCACCATACTCCAGCGCGTTGAAGCGGCGCGAGAAGTGGCAGCCCTGCTGCGTGGAACGGCGGGGGCGACCGCGGAAAGGGGAACGGCGCTGGGATGTGCCGTGAGAGGAGGAGGCGTAGCCCGTGCGCTGGGGCTGGGAGGAGGAGGCGGGGTGAAGACGGGCTCAACTCCGCTGGTGGTCCCTGGCGGCCTCGTAAGCAAGTGGGGCCGATGTGAACTCGTACCGCCATAGCTCGGAGTGGTACTCGAGCGGAAGGCTGGCCAAGAAACGATCGATAAGGGCAGCCTCGGGGAGGAACGCCACGTCGCAAACGAGACGGACGTCCTGAAAGACCTGGATGTGGCGATCCAGGCCGGCAGCGCCACCAGAGCTGGACCAGCGTGTAGTGACGACACGCTCGAAGGCGTCAGTCACGTCGTATCGGGCTCCGAAGCGATCCTCGAGGAACGCCTAGAAATCCACGAAGGTCGGAGTCCGACCCTCACGAAGGGAGTAGGCATAGAAATCCTCCCAAGCCTCGAAAGGACCGCCACGCAGGCGCGTGGAGAGGTGACCTGCCCATGAGCTGGAGTGTGCGGGTGGCAGACTGCAGCCACCGAGACATGCGTATGCCTGTACCGTCATACAAGGCAATGTCCGACAAGCGGATGAGTGGTGCGCCACCGTTTTGGCGGCGAGGGGATCGAGGAGCGGAGGCCTGTGCCACAACTGAGTAAGTCGGCGCAGGTCTTGGAGAAAGGGGCGAAGCTGACTGTGCGCTCGGGCCGCATGGGGGAGCGGCGGTGGCAACAGCGGCAGGCTGCGAGGGTGCTGCGGTAGAAGAGGTCGCAGCAACCACGGGAGTTGGAAGAAGGTAGGAAGGAGTTGTATAGGGTGCAGGGCGCGGAAAGCGAGCCTGTATGGGAGGAAGGGTAGAGGAGGTAGGGGGTGCGCCCGAAGGCGCGGCCACCTGTGAGGGTGGGGGTGGTTGAAGGCGTAAGAGGGCGAGGTCGGCCCGGAGCTGGGCAATCTCATACCCGAGGCCTCGAACGTAGGTCGATCGAGGGGTGGCAGGAGGAAGAGTGGAGGGGGTGGACGTACAAGCGGCGCGGGGCATCCCAGAGGGGGGAGAGCCAGGTGGCGCTGCAGTCGTGTGAAGGGGAGGGAGAAGCGGGGCACCCGGAAAAGCTGAGACTATGGTAGCGGGTTGTTGTACCGTGGCCGTAGTGACCAGGATCTGGGCGGGTGCGCCCGTAGACTGAGGGGGGGCCTGGCTCGTGGCGGCCGTCATGCTAGGGGCGTGGACAATCACCAAGATGGCCGGGTCAGGGGCAACGGAGGAGGAATCTCCGCCATGGCCACCCTGTCGGAGGACGGGGGACCCGGACTGGGAGCCAAGAGATGACTGACACGCAGCGTCCTGGAGTTGCTGCATGCCGGCGGCAAGGGTCTCCACCTGCGCCTGTAAGGGCGCGAGGGTCGTGAGTTGCGCCTGGATGGGCGCAAGGGTCGCGAGTTGCGCCTGGATGGGCGCAAGGAGGGAGGTGAGGAGGGTGTGTAGATCCCCCTAGGACTGATGGCCCTGGTCCGCCGGCACGGGTGTGGAGCCCGATGCCGTGGTCATTGCCGTGTCGGCGGCGTGTGACGCACCGTCGGCCATGGGGAGATGACGGACCGGACTGGAGGGGGCCAGAAGAGGTCTGCGTGAGCGGAGAGCGTAGGGGGAAGTCCGCGGTAGAAAGCGGCGAACGGCACTAGCAAGGCTAGCACGGGCGCCGTCAAAGGGGGAGAGGTGGTTCGGGTCCAGGATGCCCGAAGAGGACGGGGAGGTAGGGGGGTTTTGAGAAACCGTAAACCCTACAAAAACCCTAAGAAAACCCTAACTGAGGTTTAAGTGGCTAGGGTAGGGTACCGGTGACCTAATCAAGAAAGTAAAATAGCAAACATAAGGGGGGGGAGACGGGAGAAAAATAAATAAACAGCGAGATTTCGAGAGAAAATAAAAATAAATAAGAAAATAAATAAATAATAAAAATAATTAAAGAAATAAGTAAACAGATGTGAAGGAAAACAATATTTATTTTTTTGAAATTTTCGGCAGCGGTTCCCTACCCCCCACGGGGTCAAGAATGTGCCAAGGGAAAAGGAGAGACCGAGGTGAGCACACTAGAGATGCCGCAAATAATAAAAAGAAAAAAAAAATTCAAAAAATAAATAAATAAATAATAAATAAATAAATAAGTAAATAAGTGTGTGAGGAGGTGGGGAGAAATGGGTTATCTGATTTTTTTTCAAAAATTTTGGCAGCATTTCGTTACCCCCATGGGGTCGAAGTGTGTCGAAAAGACTAAGTAAGAAAAAATCAGAAAATTTCGGCAGCACTTTGTTACCCCCACGGGGTCAAAACGTGTGCCGAAAGCAAGAAAGGCTAACACCTAATCAGATTTAGGGTTGCCGCCAAGAAGTTCGAATTTTCA